TTGCTTACTAGATCACATTGATAACGATCTATCGATGGTAAAGCATAGAAGAAGTACCCCGGCATGTCCGGTGCTGAAGAGGGGCAAGATCTGTTAATGAAGACAAGTCTTAAGGTGAGCCTTATGGTTAACTAAAAGTGTTGCATCAGTCTCATACATCCGATGGGATACTTCCGGTAAACAAAATGGGGAACGGCTGGGGTCTCCCCAGCGATGGTTGCCCACTCATTCACCGAATCCTTCCCATATTTGTGCTCCAGAAGTCCCCCGAAAGCCTATCGTGGCACACTGTAACTAGCCGCTAATTGAGCTCTACACCCCAATTATGCCCCTGAAGCCCACCCAAATTAGCTCAACACCGCCCTCGGTAGTCCATGAGCAACACGATGGTTTGCGTCCATTTCATCTTTCTTCCAACGATCTTATGATTCAACACATTTGATAAATCGATCATGGACACTACCTACTAATATAGGGAGCACGTTTACATCGTCTTTATCGCAGTTGACTTTACAATATTGCACTTAAAGTACATGTGTAAATGAGCGGAGCGAGAGAGATACGTGAGCAATGAAATGAGTTAGGAGACAATCTGGTAGCAGAAAGTTCATAACATTATTTTGGTCTAACAGTCCGACTGGCAAACGTTAAGTCAGTCAAGCTTCGTAGATGTTGAGACGAGCAAAAAGGGCTGGGCAGCCGTTGGAGACGAGAAATCCGATGGTGAAGTAGACGATGAATTCCACTGCAGATCCAAGCCTTATGGAATTACTTCGTTCGGAACCACCTAAAGCTTATGATAAAGACAGAACTTTGGTAGGAACTAAAAATCAGCCTCTCAATTATTAGAGCTTGCACGAAAGCTTCATCAAAGTAGCATCAGCCAAAAATTCATAACTAGTGATTTCCGGACCGGACCGATTTGCTTGCACTGATTTTGGTTCCGCCCTGGAGTCGCATCACTGCCTGCTTTCCTTGATACTGTTCGACCCCAATACAGAATTAGATGGATACTGAAGCAAAATTATATTGAAAAGAAGAAACACCCAGATTTACAGGAACGAAACAAGCAAGCTTACGTCTTTCCTCTAGGATAGTGTCTAACGTACTCCCCCCGCATCTTGAGCTGCGCAAAGAATCAGAAAATCTTGACTGGCTTCCAAAAGCCGTATCAATATTCTAAAATGATTACCTATGGTTCGACCATTAGAAGGACCAATGTTACTTGATAAAATCGAAGTTCTTCTCTTTGAAACGAGGAGTGTTTTCTCTCCAGAATTTGTCTGATTTGTGCGCTGGAGAGCACTGCAGTCGACCAGAGCAATCCTGACAATCGGAACAAAATCATTGAAGGGACTAAGCAGTTCGTGGATTTTTGTAAGGTTATCTCCATGCCAGGAATATTCGAGATACGAAGTTAAAGTCTACGTTATGCATTTCTTGCTCAGTAAAATTTTGCATGTACTTTCATAACATAACCTCACCGCGTATTTATCAAACGAACTCAAATCTTGAACGGACAGCTGAAGCTGATGAACTCAAAATAAACTTAAGCTTGTAGAACTCAACTCAAGGTCTTCCTAAGGGAGCCTCCAGACCGCGCCGCGACCGCGCCGTTGTCGCTTTTGCAGCCGGTAGCTGCTTTCGCGCCGGTTGCCGCTAATGCAGCTGAAGCGCACTGTGTCAGATTTTGTCCTTGGAGCGTAGCCTATTGGCGCTAGATGCTAGGCTTTTCGATTTCTTTGTCAACACTCTTTTGTTTCCAAAGTTCTCTTCTTTGCTGTAATAATTCATAGCAGATATGGTTCATTTGATCTGGATTCCTTTTTTTCGGTCGTCTACGATGCTGGAATATCGATTTATTGTCGAGTGAAACCCTTTCAGCCTAAATTCCTCTGTAGAGCTATTGCTAGATTGCAAGGCAAGGCCGACGTCTATCTCGTTTTGGGTTTACTATGCCGTATGAGGAAATTACGAAAGTACTTCCTTTGTTTTTGAAGCTGTTCTATTGTGCCGTAGCAGCGATTTAGCTGCAGAACTCAAATTCTCTGCATTTTTTTTGCTTTTGGTACTTCACTACGCTGACCAACGATCTATTAGGTTGGTGCAAAAATAATGAGCGTTTTTATTTTCTTGCTTTAACAAAGCAAGCAGACTCAACCCAACAAAGGGTAAGGGGTACTGTATAGAGCAAAGCAAGCTCTACAACATGGCACTCATGCCTTTGCGCCATGCTCGATCCGCGGAGAGTACGAACTCAAAATCTAAAAATTTCCAAATGCCCAAAAAATCGAAAAAAATCAGATCTTCGTCCAAATAATTTCTACGGACCTCCCACTCGCTCACATCAATGCTATCGATACCTGATATCCATATGTGCGATTGCCGTATTTTTTGCTTGACTAGAAACTGAGAAAACGAAAATTTCCCTGATTTTCTCAAAGCAATGCTGAGCCGTTTTTACATATGTAGTTCTATAGTACAAGCCTAGGTAAGCACAACTGTAGTTTTTCAGCCTATTTCGAGCGGTACTTTTCGAGAAATGTCGATTTTAGCACTAAAACTGAAACGAAAAAATCCGAATTCGTTATTTTTCGAAAACTACCGCTTGAAATGGGCTGAAAACTTACAGTTATGCTTACCTAGGCTTGTAGTATAGAACTACTATGCAAAAACGGCTCAGCATTGCTTTGAGAAAATCAGGGAAATTTTCGTTTTCTCAGTTTCTAGTCAAGGAAAAAATACGGCAATCGCACACATGGATATCAGGTATCGATAGTATTGATGTGAGCGAGTGGGAGGTCCGTAGAAATTATTTGGACGAAGATCTGATTTTTTTCGATTTTTTGGGCATTTGGAAATCTTTAGATTTTGAGTTCGTACTCTCCGCGGATCGAGCATGGCGCAAAGGCATGAGTGCCATGTTGTAGAGCTTGCTTTGCTCTATCGAACAATACCCCTTACCCTTTGTTGGGTTGAGTCTGCTTGCTTTCTTAAAGCAAGAAAATAAAAACGCTCATTATTTTTGCACCAACCTAATATTTCAAAGCGGAGTCATTTGCTGCTTTCTCCTTCTCCATTCGAGGTATATACCTTTACTTCAGCATAGCAAAACAGCTAACCTTGGATAGTTAAACTTACATAAGTAAGCGTTCTCAAGCAGTATAGTAGAGTTCGAAATTAGAAGTGCAAAAAACAGAGTTTTGCGACGATATCGTCCACTCAGCAGACCAACCTCAAAGCGGAAAAGACGTCGAGAAACTTTGCCTGCACAGCAGAGCTATCATCAAAACGAAAGCTGTGCAAAAAATAGCGTTCCGCAAAGATTTAGTAGCTCCCAGATTTGTGTGGAGGCAGGTTGCGGGCTTTTCCTGATTTTGATGGTATAACGAAAGAGTACAAAACAATGCTGCATGAAGTTCCAACCAGTTCACACTTACATTCAGGGAAAGTCCACAACCCGACGTCTTCAATAGATGTAGCATAGCTTCAAAACTAAAGACGAATTCAAAGAAACTTTGTCCTACGAAATTGATCAACTACCATAAAAGAATAACCTAAAAACGAATAAAAGACAAAACGCCGTTCATCACTTTTTTGCCTAAATAACAACTCTACAGCGGGAGGTGATTGAATATTCGACAATAACTCGATTACTCCAGCATCGTAGAGCCTCCAATAAATTACTTACGGGAAGAAGAAGACCTTGGAAAAGAGTGGTAGCAAAAGAATCGAAAAGCCTAGTATTTAGTGCCAAAAGGCTCTCGCGATGCTTCAAGGACAAAATCTGACACAATGCGCTTCAGCTGCAATAGCGGCAACCGGCGCGGTTTCGGCGCGGTCTGGAGGTCATTTCTCCCTAAACGAGAAGCAATAGAGATGGTGCTGAAAACAAAGTAAAAAAAGTCGAAAAACAACTACAAGTAACTTTGGCATTGTAAAAAAGAATTTTGTTCCACCCTTTGAGCGTTCTTCTGCTCAGAAAAAAAAACAACAGCTCTTCAATAATTCAGATTTTCCGCAATAAAGTTAGCTAGAGCAATAGGTCTCACCTAAAGCCCTGTGTCGCCACATTTTTTGGCGTCAGTAAGTTCAAGAGTTTTGAGAGTTTTGCATTAGACCATTTGCAAGGCTGCTTCTTTTTCAAAGTCTTTTTCCACTTTCTTTAGAATGTTGCCGAACGTTGCTATCATGATACGTATGACCTAGAAACGATAAGACCATTCCCAAAACAAAAATGGTTTGAAAAAAAGTTTACTTTTTCCATCGATGAATGCGTGAATCGTACGTGAATGCTGATTTTTGGGGGAAGGGGGGGGGGGCAATCAAGACAAGAACAAGGCAAGCTGCAGCGCGAGTGGTGCGCTGGCAATTGTGATAATCATCTCCAAACCAGACCTGTTACCCTATCTGACGGACGGCGTGGAAACTACCGCTTTCTAGCAGAGTCCCCGCGCAAAACTAAGCCGATGGAAGTCGACCGCCAAAATATGGTATCGGAGTCTATTTTGGGAACGAATATCTCAGTCGCAAGTGCACCACCTGCGCTGCAGCTTATGTCTTATTCAGGCCATCAAGATCAGTAACAACCAACGATATCCATGTGTCCACATTTTCCTGAACGCTGTCTTTGAATTCAAATTGTTGCTACTTTCCGAATTTGAAAGATTGAAATAGATCCGAAATACCGCTTCCGTCATAAGATCGCTGAACATTTGCAAACTGCACTCGGTTCTTTGTTGGCACGCGTACACTTTCTGAAAAACTATGTTAAAAGCTATGCGAACGGATTTCGAAATAAGCTGTGGTTTATGGCAGCTAAAAAGTGTATGGCTGTTGGAACAATTTTTCTGCACGCATCTAGCAAAACTGACATGAAAGCTGTGCAAGGATGAGTGTTAAATATAATTGTTGCCAGCACTCTAAATTTGAAAGATTGTAAAGGTGATTTACAGATGGAATTGTAAACTTTGGTCTTCTCACAATCGACAATAGCAGTAGCCAGGGTTGTTCATTTGTGCGATTAGAAAAGTCAATCACAATAAAACATGCGAAAGGATTGAAATTTTTTAAAAGCGGGTTTATTCTGTAGCGGTAAGCCCGTTGCCAATGCTACGGCTGCAACGCTTATGTGAACACTGCTGATTTTGTCAACAAATATGCGAAACTGAAAAGATGACGGGTTATGTGAATTAGAGCTGTACAAGTGCAGACTCTCTATCTCTACCTGAGTAGTGCAAGTGTGAAGCAAAAGTAAAGCCAGAAATCCTAAAAATAATAATCATAAAGCCAGAAACGAAAAGTTCTGGAAACGCTCAAAAATGCGTATTCTGACTCACGGTTACCGATAGACTTTTTTAGCGAAGAGTCCAGTGAAGAGGAACAAAACCGCGCTTGAAAGCGGCGCCATAAGGCAAGGCTCGTCCGCCAAACCGATATGTATCGCATTGGCACCGATCATTCGTATGAAGTGAAGTTGGCGATCGAAGTTTAAATCGTGAAATTCTGATCTGCCAAAAGAAAAATTGCTTTTCAGAAGTGTGACTGCCATACAAGGGATGGATGCTTGGTCGAAGATTTTCTATGTGAAGTATATAAATCTCAAAGAGCAGAAAACGCAGATTCCGCAAAGCGCTTCTGGGAGGGGAATTATGGGAATTTTTGAGCCGAAAATTCGAGGTTTGGCTGAGGTGGAAACATTTGTCTTTCCGGCGCTTGAAAGGAGTAATGACTAGCATAGTTTTGTTAAAATGAAGGTATTGACTGCATAAAGCGCGCTGTCAGTAATCTCTACTTCTTAGAGTAACTGTTGTATTTAACGCATTGTCAAATTTCGCGTAATTTTGTTCCACTTAGTTTGTGAATAGACTTCAGTCTGATGGCGTTCCCAGCGTGCGTCCCAGCATGCGTGTTGCTAACAAGGGAGGGTTTGGAAGGAAGTTATGGGCGTTTTCATGAGGATTTTTTGCATGGTTTCGAGTAACTACCATTGACGGAAATCGTTCAGATTGCTTCTTGCACTACAGGATAGCATTTTAGAATGACCAGCATCTCATTAAGCATGGATAACCTATTCCAAGTAGCGAGTTCACAATAATGCATAAGTTTTGATAATTTTGGCTACTCCCAGCTTCGCAAATTTTTGCCAAACAAAGTCCTTAACTTCCTTTCCAGAAACCTGCGGATATGGAAGGCAAATCTAAAGTGGGCGCTCTAAGCTCTTTGTGATGAAATGCATCTGATAAACCACTTCGACTTCGCGGGCGTGTCCTCTAATCATTTGGGACACACGCTGGGATTATTCACCATATTGACAACTTCTTTCCGTTCAAAAAACAATCCTTCGCTCTTCAGCACAACATCCCATTTCGCAAACGCATATTGTTTGAAGTATCCTAAGAAAAGCAGTCATAGAGTATGCTGCGGCTAAATTTTTGATCATGCTTCTGTTCGCATTACCAAATTTCCATCGATGATTATTTTGCACTTGTTGAAGGATTTTTCGTTTGCTCATCTGCTTGGATTTCGCCTCAAAATAATACAGCATGTTTTTGTATACTTTCGCTGCATAAAAGCAGTGCACGAGTGATTGCAAGCACTCAGCAGTGAAGTATGACCTTAAAATCTCTAAAGGCTGTACAGCTGTTCAACTGTATGATCTCGTTTTTTGAACTAAACTTTCTTTCATTAGGCCTTCTATATGTATATCACCTCGCAGCTTTGAACATGGAATTCCGACATAATGTCATACCGTATCGTGGGATATCATGGTCTTGCATACTGTACAATCCGTTACACTCGAGTATGTTAACGATTTCAACGTTTCGGAAAAAAAGCACGCCGATTCAATCAAAAATGTACTGCATCACCTGATGGCTGATCACTGACGAAAGGGTCGGCTACTCTTGCGAAGCGGGTGAGACGCGCATTCGAGTATTTTCATCATTGGAGCTACCCTCACACCCAGCATACATGAGGAAACACCTTCGTCTGGGATTATTCTCTATCCGTAATCTTACACGCAATCATGTATGAATCATTAACAGAATAGATGCATGCATCGCGATCGTGCTCTGATTGCAGAAAAAAGACATATAAATTTGTAAAATGCTCGGAACGGCGATCTCGCTTTTTTTCTGGCGTAAAAATTCCGCAAACATTTGAAGTTTATTCCTGCTCAGCAGTCAGCAGTATGAAGAACTCAAAATGATCACATCCATAGTAACTATTTCCTGCTTTTTCGACATTGAAACAGTTGTTTCTGCATCGCTGCGCTCTCCTTTTCTACGATGCGAATAAAACTGACGATCTTTCATGTGAAACAGCGTATTTCCTTTTGATCAACCCTTCTTTGATTCAAACACGCATGTGAACAAAAGAAAGTGTTAACAAGGCAAAAACGCGTTGAAGACCATCATATGTTCATCATGATTTGGGATTACGCACATGCTACCGATTATAATGCAAAGAAGATGTCTTTTGTGTTTTCATAATAACCGCTTCCGGGGTTGAAGGTAATGTCGGGCAGATTTTGCACTTCCACCTTCCCACATGTTTCAGGCCTTTTCGACACTGAACCCGAATCGGTTTAGACAGAGTGAAAAGACCACTACTGAAGGTTTACCCTCCAGAAAACAGCACAGACGGCAGTTCTAATGAACGGGAGACCCCGACACGAAAACCTTGGTGGATGCAATTTTGGCTTTGGATAGCATGCACAATGCAAGAGCGATCGTGGGGTTGCGTGGAACAGGTAAACAGACTCGTCCGGCGCGCACCGGTTCAAGGGCGGGGCTATTTCCTCGGTGCAGAAAGAACAACCAGCGGACTGGGCCTCAAGGTTAGTGGAGCGAACAGGAACCCTACCACAGCTGTACTCCTAGGGCGCGAATCTGCGGGACACTCTTTAGGACCTCCAATGGCGTAGCTTCCATGGTGTTCCTCACCATTAATCCTCGCGAAAACTCCAAAAGTCTCCTACATGTCAAAGGAAACAGAAGTAAATGCAAAAGATATAAGAGAGACATCTGAAGAGAGGTGTAATTGAGAAGACCTACATGATGACCTCACGCCACCTCACTAGATTTATTCCCCTTATTCTAAGTGTTCATCCGTGCTGGTCCTTTCCATACGAAGTGTGGATTAGCATGTGCCATAGGAAACCCACAGTTATAGTCAAAAGCCTGTCGTATAATGTTTGGAAGAAAGCCTTGAACACCAGCGTAAGCGAGCAGTCGTCGCGAACGACTGTCGGCGTTCACCATATTCCAAGAAATCTTTCTTTAACTTTCATGTTCTCGTCGATGCAAGGTATATCTTGACGGAAGCTCCCTTCAAAAGTTAAAAAAAATATGCGGAAAAAGTGGGCGCTCATTGTCGCTCGCAAAAGCCTGTAGCGCTTCGGGACCAAACGTTTTCAGCCGCGCCGCGCGTTGGTGTTTGAAGCGGCGCGTGGGCAATTGGATTTTACGGAGCCTGTAGGCGTGCTTTCCCATTTGTTTGGGATTATTGTTGATTATTGCGATGAATCAATTAAATACAATACCTAAATGCAAGCTGATGCTTTGTCTAACTGTAGTCTTCAATCAAACAGTGCCCTGAAAATTTTGACGCATCCTTATCGAAATTGTGGCTTCCTGCGCTTTTAATGAATTTGAAGGCTTCATTTGATTTTGAAAATTATGCGTGGACTGCTGGAAGAGGTAGAAGAAAATACTTAGATATCCTCCTTCCTTCGTTCGATGACCAAAAATCCGAAACATCTTTCCTAGAAACAATCGCATTATGATTCTTTCTGCAATGCCTTCTTGAAGACGTTCGCCCAGGGTTGTTTCATACTGCAGTATGCAGCACCGACCGTCGATCGATCGATATCTTTTGCCCGCCCCGTTGTGACTGCAGTTGCTGCAACGACTGCAGTATGAAACAACTCCCAGCAAGCGTAGAGCAGTCTTCTTTTCTTATTTGTTGGATCTTTACGTTTCCACTTTGATCTTTCGTCTCAAAGGCAAAAGCGTTGAAATGCTTAGCGACGCATGTTTCATCCATCTAAAAAAAGGAATAAATATGATAAAATTTTGAGGTGGTAGAACAGACTTTTCGCAGGCTTACTCGCACTATTGTGGGTCTACATTTTCTGTTAAAGGGCCTCTAGATAGGCCACAGCTCAAGTCTGAGTCGACTCGGCCCCATTTACCCGGAGAAAATTGCATTCAAAGCTCAAAAATGCACTCAAAAATTTTCAAAATTCAGGAAATATTGGGCGTCAGTGCTGAACTGCTTCAAAAGCCATGGCGATTATATTACAAAGACAGGGTAGGTCAGAGAGCAAATATAGCACTAAGGAAGAGTAAAAAAAATTTGAATTAAATGATATCTAGATCGTCCATGAATTGGTGCTCTTTGTGATTTAGTGAGCGACGAAAAAAACCGACAAAGCTTTCGGGACAACCGAATATAATGCAACTATACCTCTTCTATGCTTTCACACCCCTACCCAAACAGGTATCAAAAAGGTCTCAAAGCAAGTATAAGCGTCTCAACGGCCAAAATCTGTTTATCGAATGAATATTGAGCTTTCACGCATTTTATCAAGTATAATGCAACCAAGAAGATTGTCGTATAACGTTTGGGAAAAAATTTATTTATCCATAAAAATGTGAATAAAATAATTTGACGACATACTAGTGTGACAGTTAGCTTTTATCATTTATGCTGGATAGGCATGTGAACAATCTCGTAAAACAACGTAAAAGCATGCAATAAAGACCATACACTGTTCATGTTTTATGCTGTTAAAAACCGCAATATGAAGATTATATCCATCCATGTTACATAAAAACACAAAACTTAATGCTGTCACTTTATCGTCAAGATAATGGTCATTATCGCCATCATTTCGCTAATTCCAGATGAGAACATGATTAGGTTAAGAACATCTATACGTGCTTTTCCATTTCCTTTCTGCTTGATTATTTGCATCGGATGAAATAAATACCTCCGGCAAACACGGCAACGATGCCCTATCCGACTTTGATATCTTTAAAAAGTCAATAGATTGGCGCTAACTTTCTTTGCACCATATAGCTTATATGATTTCTTATCGGAAAGGTAGCTTCCTGCTTTCTTGGCATGTCTTCGAATTGTAAAAAAAGATTATGTACCTTTCAACAGCATCTTAGAGGTTTCCATCACAAGATGTGACGCGCCCTCTCAGATATCCTCTCCTCTCCGCGAAGATGTATGATCGGCTCCCAGATTCGTGTGGAGGTGTATTGCAGACTTTGCCTGATAACACATGTAAACTTGCTAAACCTCCACGTCATAGCATTGCTTTTCGTTATCTCTCGCTAGCAAAAACCCCCACGCGGTGAGTTGGCAAGACTCCACCTCCACACGAATCTGGGAGCCGATGATGCAATACCGCTCATAATTCGTCAAAAACGTCGCCGCACTCTGGCGCACTGCAGCGCACTCCGGCGACTTTTTTGACGGATTATGAGCGGTATTGTACGTGCGTATCGGTCTAAGCCGTGATAGACTGTTTCACCTAGGTGCAAGCACTAAACCATGGGCTTCAATAGTCTTGGCTACTCTCAGCGTTGCGAGTTTTCCCATTAAATTTGAATTGTCTCAAAACAGAATTGTTCTGCAGCTGCGAGGTTGTTTCGGAAACAGCGTTTCAAACTCCTTTAGTGATGGTATCTGCCTCATGTCAAAAGGGCACTGGGATTTCTGGTAGTTTCCTTGTTAAATCGGTTTTCCTAACTTCTACTTCAAAGGCGAAATCCTGAATATGCCTAACGACGCATACTTCACCCTTCCAAAAACATGGTAAAATGATTATGATGAGTTTTTGAAGTGGTACAAATGTTTTCAGGTATTCGTGTTTCCTGCATCTTTTTGAGGCAGTGTTCTACGAAATTTGAGGTAGTGTGGGTTTGCTCCTCCACTTCTATTGGGGGCCCTAGATAGGTCTTTGCCCAATTGCATTCGGCCATCTTTATTCGGAGTAAATTGCACTCAAGGTTGCTTCACTTGGCGATTTGGCTCGCACAGGCCGACTTGCCGATTCCTTCCGTGTTTCAGCCGTTCTTCCACGTGAAGGCCTTCCTTATCAACCTATCTAATTGCCGCGGGCGGATATAAAGGGCCGAGCATACTTCACGCGACTTCACTCGCGACGCGATCTGGCAAATCGCCAAAAGTCTTCAGATCCAACACTAGCAAACTGCACATGCACATAGTGAGTATAACCAGGGCCCGGCATCTATGGTTTGGAGTGAATCTGGACTTCGTTTTTGAAGTAGGAACCAACGGGGACATCATTTTTATGAGGTCGTGGAGGAAGCGCCTAAAAAACACGACGAACATGTCAGGTTTCACGAGTTGAACGTGTTCTTTCGCAAGCGCGCGAATTTCAAATGCAAGACTCAAACAAACAAATGGCTTGTTTACAGCGCACAATTAATCACATGGCTCCGAATTTGGGCTATGAGTATACAATATTACTCCAAACTATGTTAAAGTTCCCAAAACTTATGTGTCCTAATAATATTATTGCTGCATAACATACGTGGATTGATAAAATACCCTCTCTTCCGTGCATTTAGAATCTGCTTACAGTGAGTTATTTTATGCCTCTCTCTTCCACTTTCTTTAGAATGTTGCTGAACGTCGCTATGATGATACGTATGAAAAACTTATTTTTTCCTTCGATGAATGCGTGAATCGTACGTGAATGCTGATTTTTGGGGGAAGGGGGGGGGGGCAATCAAGACAAGAACAAGGCAAGCTGCAGCGCGAGTGGTGCGCTGGCAATTGTGGTAATCATCTCCAAACCAGACCTGTTACCCTATCTGACGGACGGCGTGGAAACTACCGCTTACTAGCAGAGTCCCCGCGCAAAAGAAAGCCGATGGAAGTAGACCGCCAAATAGTATCGGAATCTAGTTTGGGGACGAATATCTCCGTCGCAAGTGCAATATCTGCGCTGCAACTCACGTCTTAATCAGGCTTCCAAGATCAGTACCAACCAACGATCTCCATATGTCCAGATTCGACTGGAGGCGTCTTTGAACTCAAGCTATTGCTAGTTTCTAAGTTTGGAAAATATAGATAAGAAACACCGCCTCCGTCATGAGACTTTGCTCAACAATGTATGATGTTTGCAAAAGTGCACTCTGGTCTCTGTGGACAGACGTCACTCTTTTGAAAACAGTATCGAGTGCCATGCCAACAAATTTCGAAATATTCTGCCGTTTATGTCAAAAAAGTGTATAACTATTGGAAGAAATTTTCTGCACGCATTTAGCAAAACTGGCACGAAAGGTCTGCAAGGATGTGCTATTGCGTGGAAACTGCCACCTTCTAGCAGACCCGCGCAAAATCCTGCAAGCCGAAAAAGCTCGCCCGCCAAATATGGTATCGGAGTTTAGTTTGAGGAGCAGTATCTTAGTCGCAAGCGCACCATCTCTGCTGCTTGTGTCTTATTCAGGCTCCCAGAATCAATATCAACCAGCGATATCCATGTGTCCACACTCTCCTGGACGCTGTCTTTGAATCCAAATTGTTGCTAGTTGAATTTGAAAGAAAGAAATACATCCAAAACACCGCTTTCGTCATGAGACTTCGCCGAACATCTGCAAAAGTGCACTCTGTTCTTTGTTGGCATGCGCCACTTTCTGAAAAACTATGTTGAAAGCTACGCGAACGGATTTCGAAATAAGCTGTGATTTATAGCAGCTAAAAAGTGTGTGACTGTTGAAACAAATTCTGCACGCATCTAGCAAAACTGACATGAAAGCTGTTCAAGGATGAGTGTTAAATTTAATTGTTGCCAGCACTCTGAACTTGAAGGATTGTAAAGGTGATTTACAGATGGAATTGTAATTTTTGTTCTTCCTCACAATCGACGATAGCACCAGCCAAGGTTGTTCATTTGTGCGATTAGAAAAGTCATTCACAATAAAACATGCGAAGGGATTGAAGCTTTTCAAAAGCGGGTTTATTCTGTAGCGTTGTCAATGCTACGGCGTCCAGGTCCAAGTCTGAGTCCAAAATGCATAAGTTTTGATGATTTTGGCTACTCCTAGCCTTGCAAATTTTTGATAAACAAAGTCCTCAACTTCCTTTCCGGAAACTTTCTGCGGATATGGAAGGCAAATTTAGAATGGACGCTTTAAGCTCTTTGGGATGACATGCATCTGATAAACCACTTCGAATTCGCGGCCCTTTCTTATAAGACCAACATGACAGTATTTGCGTGTCCTGTAATCATTTGAGACACACGCTGGGACTACACTGATCACCATAATGACAACTTGTTCCCGTTTAGAAGACGTTCTTTCGGTCTTCGGCACAACATCCCATCTCGCAACCTCATATCGTTTGAAGTATCCTGAGAAAAGCAGTCATAGAATATGCTGCGATGAAATTCTTGATCATGCTTTTGTTCGCATTGCCAAATTATTTCCAACGATGATTGTTTTTGCACTTGTTGGAAAATTATTCGTTTGCTTCATCTGTTCATCTGAATTTCGCCTCAGAATAATACAGCATGTTTTTGTATACTTTCGCTGCACAAAAGCAGTGTACGAGTGACTGCAAGCACTCAGCATTGAAGTATGACCTTAACATCTCTAAAGGCTGTACATCTGTTCAACTGTATGTTCTCCTTTTCTAAACTAAACTTTCTTTCACTACGCCTTCCATATGTATATCATCTCGCATGAACATGGAAATTCGACATAACGTCCTACCGTATCATGGGATATCATGCTCTTACATACTATACAATCCATCACACTCGAGTATGTTAACGGTCTCAACGTTTCGGAAAAAAGCACACGATTCAATTAAAAATTACTGCATCACCTGATGGCTGATCACTGACGAAGGGGTCGGCTACACTTGCGGAGCGGGTGGGACGTGCGTTCGAGCATCTTCATCATTAGAGCTACCCCTCACGCCGGCGTACATGAGGAATTACCTTCGTCTGCGATTATTCGCTATCCGTAATCTTACACAATCATGTAAGAATCGTTAACAGAATAGATGCATGCATCGCGGTCGTGCTCTGATTGCAGAAAAAAAGACAAATGAATTTGTAAAATGCTCGGAAAGGCAATCTCACTTTTTTTCTGGCATAAGAACTTCCGCAAATATTTAAGATTTCATTGAAACACTTGTTTCTGCATCGCTGTTCCTTTCCTACGATGTGAATAAAACTGAGGATATGTCATGTGAGACAGCCTATTTTCTTTTGATCTACACCTCTATTATTCAAACACGCATGTGAACAAAAGAAAGTGTTAATAAGGCAAAAACGTATTAAAGACCATAATATGTACATCAAATGATTTGTGGTTACGCACATGCTATCGAGTATAATGCAAAGAAGACGTTCTTTGGTGTTTTCACAATGACCGCTTCCGGGGTTAAAGGTAGTGTCCCAGCAGATTTTGCACTTCCAGTTCCTACATGTTTCAGGCCTTCTCGACACGGAACCCGAATCGCTTCAACACAGTGAAAAGACCATTACTGACGCGTTCATCAGTTTTCCAAAAAACAGCGCAAACGGGAGTTCTAATGAAAGTTGGGAGACCCCGGCACGAAAACCTTGCTAGATGTAATTTTTGCTTCAAATAGCATGCACAATGCACGAACAATGTGGAGCCGCGTGGAACAGGTAAACGGACTCGTCCGGCGGGCCGGTTCGAGGGCTGTTTTCTCGGTGCAGAGAGAACAAACAGCCGACTGGGCCTCAAGGTTAGTGGAGCGACCAACCCCAATACAGCTGTATCCCCAAAGTTCGAATCTGCCGGGACACTCCCTAGGACCTCGCGATGGCGTAGTTTTCATGGTGCTCCTCACTCGTAATCCCCGCGAAAACTCCAAAAGTCTCCTACATGTCAAAGGAAACAGAAGTAAATGCAAAAGATATAAGAGAGACATCTGAAGAGAGGTGTAATTGAGAAGACCTACATGATGACCTCACGCCACCTCACTAAATTTATTCCCCTTATTCTAAGTGGTCATCCGTGCTGGTCCTTTCCATACGAAGTGTGGATTAGCATGTGCCATAGGAAACCCACAGTTATAGTCAAAAGCCTGTCGTATAATGTTTGGAAGAAAGCCTTGAACACCAGCGTAAGCGAGCAGTCGTCGCGAACGACTGTCGGCGTTCACCATATTCCAAGAAATCTTTCTTTAACTTTCATGTTCTCGTCGATGCAGGGTATACTTTGACGAAAGCTCCCTTCAAAAGTTCAAAAAAATGTGCGGAAAAAGTGCGCGCTCGCGCAAAAAGCCTGTAGCGCTTGGGACCAAACGTTTCCAGCCGCGTTGGTGTTTGAAGCGGCGCGTGGGCAGTTGGATTTTACGGGGCCTGTAGACGTGCTTTCCCATTTGTTCGGGATTATTGTTGATTATTGCGATGAATCAATTAAATACAATACCTAAATGGAAGCTGATGCTTTGTCTAACTGTAATCTTTAAACAGACAGTGCCCTAAAAATTTTGACGCATCCTTATCGAAATTGTGGCTTCCTGCTCTTTTAATGAATTTGCAGGCTTTAATTTGATTTTGAAAATTATGCGTGGACTGCTGGAAGAGGTAGAAGAAAATACTTAGATATCCTCCTTCCTTCGTTCGATGACCAAAAGTCTGAACCATCTTTCCTAGAAACAGTCGCAATATGACTCTTATCGTGGCCACTTTCTAACTGAGCAATACTTGTCTGATTAAACATCTCTTTTAGTAGTGATGCTCTATAGAAGAAGTACAAAACGCAAGTATTTTTTTATTTTTCTCAAAATCATTCAGAATAGAAGCGCGAGTTTCTCCGAATATGTTCTAGCCCTTGATTTTCTTGGTGACAAAAGCTATTCCAAAAAGGCTTGAGACGACATTGATGACGACTTCTGATGCACTTCGTGCAATGTCTTCCTGAAGACGTTCGCCCAGCAAGCATAGAGCAGTCTTCTTTTCTTATTTGTTGGATCTTTACGTTTCCACTTTGATCTTTTGTCTCAAAGGCAAAAGCGTTGAAATGCTTAGCGACGCATGTTTCATCCATCTAAAAAAAGAAATAAATATGAGAATAAATATGAAATTTTGAGGTGGTACAACAGACTTTTCGCTCATTCGACATGTTGTCCGCATCTTTTTAAGGCAGCTCTCATCGAATTTATATACTCGAGGCTTACTCGCACTATTGTGGGTCTACATTTTCTGTTAAGGGCCTCTAGATAAGCCACAGCTCAAGTCTGAGTCAATTCGGCCCCATTTACTCGGAGAAAATTGCACTCAAAGCTGCCGTCCCGACTCGCCGGTTTCTCCTTTCGTGTTTTGACATGCTCTTCTAGACGAATGCCCCTTTGACTTACTTAGGAACTGCCGCGGGCAATTAGGAGTGATAAAGATCGCGTACAGATAGGTGACCCTCATGTTGTCAAAAAGTTACGTGCTGCGTCTCACGCATATCGAATGAAGTAAGCACGTCATTGCGACAATGCTTGAAGCGCGTAGGATTTGAAAATCTGGGTACGATTGTAGAACTACCACTAAATAACTTAAAGACCATTTTAATTCGCAGTCGCATGTATGATCGCAATTGCCTACCCCAAGTTGTATAATCTGCCCTACAGGCAGAGAAGGGGATTGCATGGCGACTGGAGTCATCTATTCAATCTCATGCACGGTTTGCAGCGACGAGTACACTGGTGAAACAGCACAACCACTATGTATCCGCATCAAAGAACATGTAGACGGCAGAGATAAAGCACGTACAACGACAACCCTAGGCACCCGGCAGAGTACTGCAAAATGCAAGCTCGAACTTTGGAATTTCGGTGAGAATCTTAGCACATGAATCCCAACGTAAGTGTCTGGAAGCATTTTGGATTCATACAAGGAACCCGAAAAATAATCGAAAAGAGGAAAACCTAGCAATTACGCATGAACTCTCACCTTATCTAGATCAGTTATTCTGATCTAACAGTATATAAAAAGCGGTCTGCATACACGTCTGACAAGTCCAACTTTCTCCAACAGCGGAGTATTAAACCTCCGGCTCTCTCTATAGAGAAGTATCGTTCGTAATCCAGAGAGTTAAGGTTGCTTGTGCGTGCAGCTGATTTAGTGATCGCAGGGTTTAACGCTTCATCTGTTCAACTGTACAGATACTTGTTCTAATCGGCTGGGCTATTATGAATGTACATCATGTCCAGTTGTCCCCGCGGATTCCGGAAAGCGCTTAGTATTTTCTGCAAATTCGAAAATGACCAAGGTTAGACATGGTTGGAAAGGTTTGTAGCAAGATCCCTACACTCAATTTTCGGTAAGACTCTGCCTATAAACCGGTACGAATTTCTGCGCTGAGAGTAGAGATGACCCTTCTAAAGGTCCTGTAGTCAGTAACCATCTCATTTAGGTCGCCATTACCGTTGCAGAATTGCTTGTATGCCCTTGGTGAATTTTCAATATTCGATGACAGTATCAAAATGCTATGCAAAATGCTCACTTTATTAGAATGTGTTCTGTTTGCAGTGTGAGGTCAAATTGCAGGAAATGAGATCAATAAAGCTCCTACTGTTCTTTGTTGTGCTGCTTTCCGCGATGGCTATCTGTGATGCTGTTTCGTGTCAGATTCCACTAGTAGGAAAGGGTTTGTGCGATCTCCACTGTAAAGGACATGTAAGTCTGACTTCTGCAGTCTACAAGGATTTATAATCTTAGGTTAATTCCTATCATGAACGTTCCTTGCGCTAACGCCATAATAGATGAACAAACACAAAAACATATTCGACAGGAAAGCTATATAGAATGGCATCGAACATTCGCTATGCTTTCGTTCCACATGTGCTTCTGGAACTAGGGCCCTAGTAAGCCTCCATCAGCTCAGTCAACTTGACCCGACTCCGTCAGCAGAACTTCGTAAGTCAAAGTTACGACCGCTCACCTTGATGTGCTTTGAGATTGCAAGTTGAACAGTCAAGAGTGCCACGGTCACCTCAACGTAATGTCAGCATAAAGGTAATTCGTAAATTGAACTGATAAAAGTAGTGTGCAAAAGCGGATAATCAGACAACAATATCGAAAGTGGCTTCTAAGTAGCTTACGGGACACCTAAGCTTACGCATTTGGTTCAAGAATCGCAAAACTACAACCGAGCCCACATAGAAGAGGATCGATGAACAGCTGATCACATCCAAGAAACTAACGAATTAAGAAGTTCGTAATCTTTGCGTTGGTTGTCTGAACGTAGATCACGATTGGTACAGATCTTTATAGCACAGAATACATACTAACGTTTTGGCAAACTCGCCTTCCTCAGAGTCTGAAAAGTCGAAGACACATGAGTAGAATATCCGATCGAACACCTCGTCGACTACAGAAAAGAGCTCAACCCTCTGAAAAAAAGAAAAATAATAGCCCCAACCAAAACGCAAGATCAAGCCAATGCTCACATTGCAGGTGATAATCTGGTGGGTGCAGACCACTTATGACTTTTTGAAAGTCACTTATGTGGTTTAGAAAATGTGCAAGCGACTTGTTTATGCTGCCGTCACTCCTCCTTTTTCAGAGAATTCGGGGTATGGGCCCACAAAATTCTTGGCAAACATGCCAAAAAATTTTTCGGAGTGCGTAGCTGACCTTTATGACCTTTATCAGAGAAAGATTTTTTTGTCGCACCCCCCCCCCCCCCCGAATGGAAATATTGGGTAAGCCACTGATCTGAACAATTTTGGACTACGATCAAACAACTAACGAGGAGATTACAACTATGCCAAGATTTATGGTTAGTCGAACATGGATGCTTAAAAAGTGGGTTTTTTCCTCTTTCTTTTTGATATTATCTTTCCAAAAATATGACAGACGCTTGAGGTGACAATTATTCCTTCAATATTCTGTTAGCTACATTATCTCAATATGCTAAATAATAGCTAAATAATTACCATCTTGCTTTGTTTCTCCCCTAGCTATCTGAGATGTTTGCTAGTCATCATCAATTTTGTGATGGTGGTTACTATCAGAAATTGTCTGGCGATGCAACAAAAATTGTTCCACTAGTTGGTTTTGAACAATGCCCATATCTCAGTCACCCAGCCCCGAAAAACTCTGCGGAACTCCAATTTTGCTCAGATAACATTCACATCAGAAATCTCAATCTGCAAATACTGATTTCTCGTTACTGTAGACCGAAAGATAAGAATGAGCCAAAATACAAATATGTCCCTTTCTGAGCTCTAAACGATGAGGCTTCTCACTACCATTTTTAGAATTTCAAAAGTTTGTGGTATACCAAAAAGTTTGTAATCGGAAATACTTTTAAGTGAAAGTCCAGCAAACTGAGGAACCTTCAATCCTTCGAAAAAATAAGCATGCGTATTGAATGCTTGATGTAGATACTATATGCGTGAACAGTTTGTGTTCGCAGGGGCATTCTGGACGGAAATGCGGGTTTTAGACACTTGAATTTAGAAGAATCCAGAATTCACGTGCATCAAATTCTTTGCGAATGTCCAGGTGATATCTCGTTTAGCCTGCTTTGTCGTATCTAACAATATGTTTCCTAATTTTTTCATCTACTCTAGGGCGCTAACGCAAGGAACGGCATTAGTTCAATCTAACATGGCGCACTTGGTGCAAGTAGACCTGACAACCTCGAAAATTTTTCTCAGCGGGTTTTCTTTCCTACCATCAAGTTCCAGTAAAAATCACTGATTATAAGTAGTTTAAAATACATTGCTGACTCGTTCTTTGAAATGATGTGTCATGTTGCCCGCTCTCAATCAAAGGCACTTTCAGCACAAGAAATCGGGACACTGTGGTTCTGACGGCGTTTGCAGATGCAAAAAGAAGTGAAGAAAACATTTCTTGTGTTTTTACAAGCACAATATCCAATAAAGCATTCAAGCAGTCTTACGAAATAGAATTGCCTGACTTATTTGACTTGAGAAGCCTTATTAGACTGCATTTTACAAAAGAGATCACCATAGATAAGAAAGGAAAGCAGTTTCCTAGTTGAAGAACAAGGGTTCCGAAAGATAAGTTGTTTTTAGAACTTTGCCCACACTGATTAAACGGTGCAATTTTCAATGAATCTCGGCATGATGACAATACTTTGTTTTTTCTTTCTGAGCCATACACGAGATTGATATCTGATTTATTCATCCCACAGCTAAGGTTTCGGCAGATCGCCTTCGTCAGAGCCTGTAAGGAACAAAACGATCTGCAGCCGATTTGAACAAGTATCTGTACAGCTGAACAGATGAAGCGCTAAATCCTGCTTTCGATCACTAATTCAGCTGCACGCACAAGCAACTTTAACTCTCTGGATTACGACGATACTTCTTAGAGAGATGTCGGAAGTACATTTCGTCCGCTGTTGGAAAAAGTTGGACTTGTTAGACGTGTATGCAGACCGCTTTTTATATACTGCTAGATTAGAATAACTGATCTAGATAAGGTAAGAGTTTATCCGTAATTGCTAAGTTTTCCTCTTTTCGATTATTTTTCGGGTTCCTTGCATGAATCCAAAATGCTTCCAGACACTTACGTGCCTGAGTTTGGGATTCATGTGCTAAAATTCTCACCGAAATTCCAAAGTCCGAGCTTGCATGTTGCAGTACTCTGCGGATGCTTAGGGTTGTCGTTGTACGTGCTTTATCTCTGCCGTCTACATGTTCTTTGATGCGGATACATAGTGGTTGTGCTTCACCTGTGTACTCGCCGCTGCAAACCGTGCATGAGATTGAATAGATGACTCCAGTCGCCATGCAATCCCCTTCTCTGCCTGTAGGGCAGATTATACAACTTGGGAGAGGCAATTGCGATCATACATGCGACTGCGAACTAAAATGTTCTTTAAGTTGTTCGTGGTAGTTCTACAATCGTAACCAGATTTTCAAATCCTACTGCTTCAAGCATTGTCGCAATGATGTGCTTACTTCCTTCGATATGTATGAGAGCAGAACGTAACTTTTTTGACAACATGGGGGGTCACCTATCTGTACGCGATCTTTATCACTCCTCTTGATTTTTCCTGCATGATGTTTATATCCGTTAAAAGCCGTTATACTACGGGCAAGCGCTATCGATTCTGCCTTCTCTTTCGGACCACTGCAGACTTGAGTAGTGCGAAACATGTTAATAATTGTCTCACCTTGAATCAAAAGGACTAGTAGAGGCCAAATCGTTGTCGGAATTAAGCTTATGCGTTTTATAAATAGGTACAGTTGTAGAGGTGGATTTGGCCAAAATTGCGGGATTTTCGGGATTTGCGATGTTTGCGGGATTAGCTATAACTTCTTTCAGAACAATTTTATAGGAAATCCGCAAGAAGATTCGGCTTCAGATTGATGAGACGACTCTTTTGACGTACAGTATGTCCGTAATTCGTGGTGACAAGGTCGACTTATGATAGATCTTTGTGTTTTCTATGATGACGCAAATGTATCCGGGCGTAAATTGCGAATAATAAGCTTTGGAATCAAGTTCTAACTATAGAAGGCCGTCGACAAGAACTGAGCAATTTTTATCCATCCTTTCCAATGATATAGACTTTTGTTTATCGCTGATATCATCATAATTTTGAATCAATTTTGGTACGTCGTGAGAAGAATGCCGTCGAAAACGCTGTGTAAGGTTTTATCGTTTTATCTCTCATAGCAAGTAATCTACGGGCTTCCGTTTACATTGCTCAGTGCAGCTATTAGATACCTCGGTGCAGCAGTCCCACAGCAACTCTCGCTAAAATCGCTTTTCTGCTTGTGGCTGGCTTCAGGCTGAAGCCTCGGAGGTGAAATCTCGAAAGTATGCGAAAAATGAACCTAGGGAATAATTGCAGGTTTAAAATGAATCTAATAAATAATAGCAAGGATTTGTGCTGGCTCTATCTATTCTTACCACTGATATGATGATTTTGTCACTTTTCGCCTATGACGTCACTGATTTGTGTCGTTTTTGGTAGACTGCTAGAAAACTGTACTTATAACCATCATGCGAGTTCCTAGCCCTGCACTTCTCATGATATGTACGTTAGAGTCTTTCTTAGAGTCTTTCCCTGCAAATGGGTGCTCTGTCGGCGGTTGGTCCCCGCTGCGCAATCGATCGATCACGCAATGAACAGACTGAAATTCGTTTACATCTTGGGGAGTAAAAGAGTCAGAATAACTGTATGTATTCATAACGGTAGATAACGGACACCGAAATAAGCTAGCATGACGATATATTAAAAACAGAACAATACCTAACAAACGATAGCCTGCTACAACGTCGAAAATGAACTGGAGTTGTGTCGGTTGCATCATACCTCAGCAAGGAACCAATCAATCACCGATTTCGCAATAGAACCGGAAGAAACCCTTAGCTCACTGGTTTCAAAAGATAACGGTATAACAAATCAGTGTTTTCTTCGGTACATTTCTTACCAAACACCAAAAATGATTCAAAATTATGACATTATCAGCGATAAATGATGAAATGCTTTTATCACTCAGACATTCGCGGTTAAGTCCCGCCGGTGAAAAAGTTGTGTCCCGACGATGACTGCGGGACACAAGTAAAATGGTTTGCGAGGAAACCGAGACTTCCGTACTTAGTTCGGATAATGCTGCGCGACACATGCACTTGTCCCGAAATCTGCTGAGAAAACTGGGAGCTCCTGCGGGAGTCCAGATAATGTCGCGATCCAATCACCGGCGGGGCTCCCGTTCTGCGCTGCAGTCTCCTGCGGGAGACGCGATATAGCAGCGATCCGATTAGCTGCGGGCTGGGCTTTCTTTCGAAATGGTTCTCCTTCAAAAGTACTCAAGAATTCATACTACACACATCTTACAAAGTGCTGTGCTCGATACAGAGTTCAGGACCACTCTTTATTAGCTTTCGTGATCGAAAGATCATTGAAATCACTGAAAATTATTTTGATCACTTGAAAACAAAGTTAACAGAAGCAAATCTGGAATGTCTAGATCAAAAATGTGAGGTTAGACTAATGATTCAGATTTCACAACTTCGATCTCTTCGTCTTGCTCATGTTCCGCCTCATTCGCCTGCTCGTGCCCAAAGAAGCATGCGTCGTAATAGGACATAAACGTTTTTCTGATAAAAAGTGACAATCTAATCCTGATTTGAGGATGCATATATGAATATTACCGAAATTGGGACAGTATCTCTTTATCAGCATCAAAATGATATGCTCGCACATCTGCTCCGAAGTTCAAACTCAATAGATTTATGGAAATAATCTTTGAAAGAAACCCACAAAGCTGTTCCTATAGCCACTCGTAATATTCCATTCCACCTTAGCCTCCTCGGACAACTTGTCAAACGTCTTTTTCATAGTGTCGTCGTCCTTTGCGCCCAGCCAAAATCTAAATCAAGAAGATGTAAAGGTTAAAAACACTTTCTATGCCTATTTCCGCGCGCATTCATTAGCAGTCAGTTGAAGTTCTTCTGTATGAAGGCCAACACCACCAAGAACGAAATTGGAAGATCTAATTTAGATTTTTTAGAAAAAACATCAATTACTCCTTATTAAAAATGTGATCAGACTTTCGGGCAGGTCGTGCAAATGAGGAAATCTACCCTTTTAATAGACTGCCTGCATGCAAACTTTTGTTTTTGTTTTGACTCGCAGGCCTAAGTGCGCGTTTCTCGATCAGGATAGACTCGAAATTTTAGTCTCATTTACATGCAAAAAATAGAACGTGTTAAAATCCAAACACTAACAAAAAATTCATGCTTTTGTGCTCACTTCAATGTACGGTAGAGTACGCCAGGGGAGAATTTGTGATGAAAAGTCTCCCCCACGGGCATAAGTCGTGGGAGGCCCTAAACCCTCACATAATACATATCATCTAAAAGGGTTGATAAGAAGAATTTAAACTATGAAATCGCAACATGATTTACGCAGTTCTGAGAATTTATGAGCTGTTGAATTTTAAAAACGGTTCTTTACCTTTTTTTTTCAAGACTTTGGATCTCAGCGCCGTTTCATTGAATCGGTATGGTTAAGATACATTCTGCTAAGGCAAACCTTACTTTGCAAAACCAATGAAGTCGCAATATCACACACCTTTACATTCAAAATTTATATGAGTTTAACTGTCTGCTGTCATTGAAGGCAGCGTCCGGGCAAAATTTCGAACAAAACTTTTTTCGCTTACCTGGGCTTATTTTTCCCGCTGATTGCGAAAATGCAGCTTGCAGAGTACGAAAACGTCGAAAATGGGCGATTCCAGAGGCTGTTTATTTTGAATATGGATGCTTGCCGCCGAGGTTAAGACGCAGAGTCGAGGTGGGACCCTACGCCTTGAGGCGTGCGACATACGCGTACTCTGGCTATCGATTCAGGGGCGGGCATGTCGCCGGGGCGTCCCTGTCGCCACTTCTGAAGCGGTTTTCTCGCTTCAGAAGCAAATTAGTGCGCTGCCAATTGGGCAAGGGCTTTATTAGGGCGGGAGCTCCTGTATGCAAAAATTTCATACCTGCCCGGACGCTGCCTTTAAACAAGCTAAAATGGCGTAATTTTTCAGGATTCTGGTTTTCTGCGAATATCTCTTGAATCAACTTTATTCTTTCACTATCTAATATAGCACCGCTTACTCTTGAGAACCTATAAAGTCGCAGTTGCTGACATTTTCATAGATCAGATTATTTATAGCAGTGGAAATTTCGCATGATTTTTCACTATTTGATAATTCAAAATTCTGGGTCTTGGCGGTTACTCCCTGGATCGATCTACTTTCTTCGCTGTACGTTATAACAAAATTTACTCAGTAAAATCCGAACAGTTCCGCTGAGTTTTACTTTTAAATGCACCATTTGATAAGCAATTTATGCCGCTGTATACATAAAATTATGCTTTCAATGATCTCTTTTGTGTTTTGCTTATTTTTCTTCTTTATCGTTCAGCGAAAA